CACATATTCTTTGCAGTAGAACAAATCTACATAGGTCATAATAAAATTGAGGTCATGTGTATGTAACGCATCTCTTCCGAAGCCAACCATGCATCCCAAACAATTCAGTATAAAGATCTGTCTTCAGCTGAATTTGTTTCCAGAAAAATAGTAAGTAGAAGAATTTTGCCAAGCCAACAATTTGTTCATCATAAACATATTCTTCAAGCAACCCAAGAAGTGAGATTAACTGATATTCAATAAAGAAATCAAACAGACTACATAATTGGAAGCAGAAGATGGAGAATTGCCATTCTCTGCAAAAAGAAAAAAGAAACAATAAACGAAGCAGATTGTGGCACAGAACATGAATTACTACTATTAAAAATTAGACTAAAGCTAAAGAAACACACTAAACCATCCACTGTGCCAAACTGCAACCTAAAGAACATTCCCATAGAATTTTAAAATAAGTGAAATCAGAAGTAATTTGAATTCAAAGACAAGGAACAGAGCAGAAGCAAATATTGTAAGAAAATTTGGCCTAGAATCAAGAAATGAAGCAAGAGATGAATTTTGCAAAACTAACAATTTGTTCATCATGAAAACATTTTCAAGCAACCCAAGTGACAACTGTATAGATAGATATCAATTACGACTACATAATTGGGAGCACAATATGGAGAAGCCCTACACTCACAGCAAAAAGACACATAAATTGTTAAAATAAAAAAATAGAATAAATCTCAATTGGAAACTCAGTAGAGTGGGCCTTCCTTCTCAGTGGCTGCCCCTCAACTCTGGAACTCTTCCAGCAGCAGGTTGAAACTTTTTAATGGATTTTAACTGTGATTTTTTTAAATACCATTGATATTTAATTCAGTTTTAATGTTTGTATATTTGTAGATTTTAAATTGTATTGAAATGCTTTTAATGTAAGCCACTTTAAGTTTCCTTGTGAAGAGAGAAAGCAGGGTATAAATAAACATAATAATAAACATAACAACAACAACAACAACAAACACTAAGCCAAAATGCAACCTGAGGAATATCCCCATGGAATCTAAAAATAATGGGAAAAACAGATTTGCACTATTAAACTTAAAGGTTCCAGGAGCCAAAAGAATTCTGGACTGAAGCCAGGGAAAATTGCAGGAATGCAGCTGAAAATAACCCTGAATACAAGGAAAATGACTATAGTAATTATCAATTCAAAATATGCAGACAATACTGTATTTGGAATGATTACTGAAGAAAGTCAAGGAAGAAAGTATGGAAATCAAGACTCGGCACTTTATATGTTTTTAATCTATTTTATCATTTTTGTGTGTTTGACTTGTTTATATGTTTTAATTGTTTTATAGTTTGATAGGGTATGTATTATTGCTAAATCTATGATACGACGTTGAATTTTTGCCAGAACCTGTAAGCCACTTTGAGTCCCCTTTGGGGTGAAAATAAAGTAAATAAAATAAATAAATAAGTACAAAGGCAGATTTAAGGTTGAGCATTAAGAAACCAAGAATAATGACCATGGATGATTTACATAATAGATGATGAGGACACTGAAATAGTTCAGGATTGTCCAAATCTTGGCTCAGTGATTAAAAAGAATGGAGGCTGCAGTAAAGAAATCAGAGCAAGACTAGAGCCTCTTCCACACAGCTGAATAAAATCCTACATTATCTGCTTTGAACTGGAATATATGGCAATGTGGACTCAGATAACCCAGTTCAAAGCAGATATTGTGGGATTTTCTGCCTTGATATTCTGGGTTATATGGCTGTGTGGAAGGGCCCTAGGACCAGGAAAGGCAGCTATGAAGGAACTAAGTGGGATCCTGACATGTAAAGATATGTCATTGAATACTAAAGTTATACGTATTGCTGTGAGAGCTGGACAGTGAAGATTCATCCGAAGAAAATCAACTCATTTCAAATACAGTGCTGCAGAAAAGCTTAATGGAAAATGTGGACTTCTACAAATACAAATATTGTATTTACTTGAATTTGACACTCACATTTTTGGCTAAATTGCCTCGCCAAATTTAGGGTGCGCATTAGATTCACATCATACAGTAACCATGGTGCTGAGCCAAAGAGGAAGCTATTTCAAGAGCATCTGGAGCTCCAATTTGAGAGATGTCATCTTTAATTTAATTGTCATGGATCAACACAATGCAATGCTGGGATTTGTAGTTTGGTGAGCTATCCACATTCTTTGGCAGAGAAGATTCAAGGCCTTGGCAAACTACATACCCCATGACTCCATAGCATTGAACCAAGACAATTAAAGTGTATTCATACTGCAGCATTGAAGCACCCCAAGGTTTTCTTTTCCATTGCTGGAAACATTGGACCTCTAATATTATCTTACTTTGGCCACATAATGAGAAGAAATGACTCACTAGAAAAGACAATATGTTTGGTAAGGAAGAAGGCAGTAGGGAAAGAGGAAGACTGCATTCCAGATGGGTAGACTCAATGAAGGAAGTCCCATTAAGAACTTGAAATTAAGAACATGGAAGTGGTCCCACTTACCATTGGAATTTTTCTGTAGCAGGCTTTCTCAGGAAAGTCAGTAAAGTGCACTTCCACACAGCCCAATATCCCAGAATATCAAGGCAGAAAATCCCACATTATCTGCTTTGAACTGGGTTATATGGCAGTGTGGACTCAGATAAACCAGTTCAAAGCAGATTTTGTGGGATTTTCTGCCTTGATACGAAAGGGCCCCGAGTCCACACTGCCATATAACCCAGTTCAAAGTAGATACTGTGGGATTTTATACAGCTGTGTGGAAGGGGCCAGGAGACTAGCCTTTGAACCCCCACTCAGCCCTGGAAATCTGCTGAGTGACTTTGGGCACGTCACATACTCTCTGCCCCAGAAAACCCTGTGATGGTGTCACTTTAGGCTTGCCATACTTTTCGGCAGCAGCAGGCAACACAAGCACCTACTTCTCAGGCTCTGTGGTGTGGGCAAATGTGTCCTATCTCCTAATTCTTTCCTAACAATTGACCACAGGTCAGAAGCAGTGGTTCCAGGCTTAGTCCAGGGACTAGTGTTCTGAGGAGTGATGCTGTACAATAGTGGTTTCCAGACTTTGGTCCTCCAGTAGTTTAGGACTTGAACTCCCAGAATTCCCAGCCAGATTCCAGCTGTTAAGAACTGTGGGAACTGAAGTCCAAAACACCTGGAGGACCAATGGTTGGGAACCACTGCTATACTGATACGTAGGTCACGTCTATTGTGTTCTGCTGGAAACTATGTGTTATGTTGCAACAAAGGGCCCCTCCACACAGCCATATAACCCAGAATATCAAGGCAGAAAATCCACAATATCTGCTTTGAATGGGGCCCCTTCCACACAGTCGAATAAAATCCCACATTATCTGCTCGGATCTGGAATATGTGGCAGTATGGACTCAGATAACCCAGTTCACAGCAGATATTGTGAAATTTTCTGCCTTGATATTCTGAGTAATATGTCTCTGTGGAAGGGACCTGAGTTAGCTGAGTCCACACTGCCATATAATCCAGTTGTTTTGATACAGCTGTGTGTAGGGGGCCTAAGCCAACCTTTTCTCCACCTTTTGGTGACCTCTCTCTTCAGAGGGCCCTTCCACACAGCCATATAACTCAAAATATCAAGGCAGAAAATCCACAATATCTGCTTTGAACTGGGGACCCTTCCACACAGCCCTATATCCCACAATATCAAGGCAGAAAATCCCTCATTATCTGTGTGGACTCAGATAACCCAGTTCAAAGCAGATAATGTGGGATTTTCTGCTTTGATATTCTGGGATATAGGGCTGTGTCGAAGGGCCCTGGGCTGGCTGAGTCCACACTGCCATATAATCCAGTGGACCTGATACAGCTGTGTGGAGGGGGCCTAAGGGCTCTTCCACACAGCCCTATATCCAAGAATATCAAAGCAGATGATCCACAATTGGGAGCCCCTGGTGGCAGAGTGGGTTAAACAACTGAGCTGCTGAGCTTCTTGACTGAAAGGTTGCAGGTTCGAATCAGGGTAGTGGCATGAGCTTCCAGATTCTGCCAACCTAGCAGTTTGAAAACATGCAAATGTGAGATCAATAGGTACCACTGTGGCAGGAAGGTAAAGGCGCTCCATGTAGTCATACTTGCCACATGACCTTGGAGGCATCTACAGACAACTCTTCAGCTTAGAAATGGAGATGAGCACCAAACCCCTAGAATCAGACACGACTGGACTTCACAGGCAGGGGTGGCTCAACCCATTACGCAAAGTAAGCATTTGCAGTATAGTTGATTTTGCCCAGGGGGGCTCTTGGGGTGCTCTTGGGGGAAAATAGACCTTGACATATGCGAGTTGTAGTTACTGGGATGTATAGTTCACCTACAACCAAAGCGCATTCTGAACTCCACCAATGATGGAATTGAACCAAATATGGCACATAGAACTCCCACACGAACAGAAAATATATATCAGTGATTGGTTGGGCGGGCGGGGGGGGGGGAGGGCACCAAAATACTGTTTGCTTACCATTGAAAATTACCTAGGGCCACGTCTGTTCACGGGAAAACCTTTCCCTTTACTAACCCACAATATCTGCTTTGAACAGGGTTGGCTGAGTCCACACTGGCATATAATCCAGAGTGTGGAAGGGGCCTCCTCCTAAAACAGCCTTTTCTAACCCTTTTGGTGACCTCTCTCTTCAGAGGGCCCTTCCACACAGCCATATAACCCAGAATGTCCAGGCAGAAAATCCCACAATAGGTATCTGCTTTGAACTGGGTGATCTGAGTCCACCCTGCCATATATTCCAATTCAAAGCAGAGATTGTGGGATTTCCTGCCTTGATATTCTGGGTTAGATGGCTGTGTGGAAGGACCCAGAGAAGCGAAGAGTGCGGGGAGGTGAACCTGGGCCACCCGTGGGAGCGGTGGCGAGGGCGCCCCCTAGCGCGGGCAGAGGAAGGAGAAGGAGGAGGCTGATGTGTGTCACTGTGTCAGGCGCGCGCGGGGCTAGCTTACCTGAGGAGCCTGGCGGGAGGGCAGAGGGGCGCGCGCGCGGCCAGGGCGCGAGGCCAAAGCGGGGCGGCGGGAGTGCTACTGCTAGTGCTGCTGTTGCTGCACCCGCTGCTGCTGCTGCTATCCGCGGTGGCCACTTGCGCGCGCGGACTCCCGCCGCCCTGGGTCTCCCACTCGCGCTGCCGGCTGGCCGAGTTCTCCCTCTTCAAAGGCACGGGGGGCTCCGAGGCGCCTTCTTTTTTGCCGCTGCTGCTTCCGCCACTCCGCCGCCGGTCTCTCATGGTGTGAGGGAGCCCCGCATGCCGGACGCTGCCCGCTCCCTTCCCTCCTCAGCTCTGGCGGGAAGGGAGAGCGGAGCCGGGGCCGGGCATTAAGTTGCGACGAAGACCGCGGGGGCCCTTCGCCTCCAAAGTGGCTGCTGCCCCGGCGTCCGCGGAGGAGGGGGCATCCTCTTCGAGCCACGGAGGAAGCTCCCCTCACAACATGCTCTCTGCGTGGGGCTCTCTCTCTCTCTCTCTCTGGGTTGAGGAGGCTCTCGGCCAAGAGGGAGCTGCGAAATGGGGTCAGGGAGGCAAGGCGCTTCCTTCGCGCGCCCTCCTCCTCCTCCTCCTCCTCCTCCTCCTCCCTTCCCGAGAGAAGGTAGGCTGAAGGGTGGGCTCTTTCGGCTTCTTTTTTGGCGCGTGGGGAGGAGGAGGAGGAGAACCAAAGGCAGCTGCGCGGGAAAAAGAGCGCGCGGCCTCTCTCTCTCCCTCTCTTTCTCTCCCGCCTCTTGTTTTTGCACAAGGGCAGGAAGCGCTCCACTGACCTACATATTATTTTGCCAAACAGACCTGACCTTCCCCTTCCTTCCCAGGAGGAGGAGGAGGAGGCGGGGGCGGATTCCACACGAAGGAGAAGAGGAATTTGGGGCCGGCCTTGAGATCCGAGCGAGCCCTTCCGAGGTGTGCCCGGAGAGCCGTCGGCAAGAAGGCAGCTCCACACGGGCAACGCACACTTGCAGGAGACAGAGTTCACCCAGGAAGTTCAGGACTTTGGTTGAACCCGCTGTCCTCAGACCTTGGGTGCATCTATAGTGGAGAATGAGGGCATTTTGATACCAGCACCCTTTGGCAGAGAAGGTTAAAGACCTTGTAAAACTACAATCACAGAGTTGGAAGAGACCTCATGGGCCATCCAGTCCAACCCCCTGCCAAGAAGCAGGAAAATGGCATTCAAAGCATCCCCGACAGATGGTCATCCAGCCTCTGTTTAAGCCTCCAAAGAAGGAGCCAACACTACACTCCGGGGCAGAGAGTTCCACTGCTGAACAGCTTGCACAGTCAGGAAGTTCTTCCTCATGTTCAGATGGAATCTCTTTTCTTGCAGTTTGAAGCCATTTCTTGCTCCCTCCTCCCTATGACTTTCCCTCACATATTTATACATGGTTATCATGTCTCCTCTCAGCCTTCTCTTCTTCAGGCTAAACATGCCCAGCTCTTTAAACTGCTCCTCATAGGATTTGTTCTCCAGACCCTTGATCCTTTTAGTTGCCCTCCTCTGCACAAATTCCAGCTTGTCAACTTCTTTCAATTGTGGTGCCCAGAATTGGACACAGAATTCCAGATGTGGTCTAACCAAGGCAGAATAGAGGGGTAGCATGACTTCCCTGGATCTAGACACTATACTCCTATTGATGCAGGCCAAAATCCCGTTGGCTTTTTTTGCCACCGCATCACATTTTTTGCTCATTTAACTTGTTGTCCATGAGGACTCCAAGATCTTTTTCACATGTACTGCTCTTGAGCCAGTCACCCTCCTTTGGACACATTCCAGCTTGTCAACATCTCCCTTAAATTGTGATGCCCAGAATTGGACACAGTGTGATTCCAGGTGTGGTCTTACCAAAGCAGAATTGAGGGGTAGCATGACTTCCCTGGATCTAGACACAATACTCCTGTTTATGCAGTTAGGAACTGCCAGGCTTTCATGGCATTGAGACATGGCAGCTAAAAGTGGTGTCAAACTGCCTTAATTCCACAGTGTAGATGCCTCCTGGTTGGAAACCTGTGTTCCCTTTCCAGGCAGGTGCAGAGGACACTTTCTGGAGTCTAAACTGCTTAGACGGGCATTTGTTTCTAAATATAAATGTCTGCCTGTCAGATTTTTTAAAATGTTCACAGTATGTATGTGTTTAAAAATTCAAAGTGCTCCAAGACACAGTTTTGAAAGATTTGAAATTTGGTTCCAGAATGACTTTTTAATGTTTATTAAGTAGAACCATCGAAACATAAGAGTTGGAAGAGACCACAAGGGCCATCCACAAGGAAAGCACCCCCAACTGAAGTCTGCACACCTGTTTTATAATTTTAGTGCCAAACAGAGGATGCATGTGCACCATAGAATCAATGTAGTTTTGACATCACTTTAACTGGGACATGAGAAAAGCCTCCCACAGGATGGTAACACATCGAAACATCCAGGCGTCCTCTGGGCAACATCCTTGCAGACAGACAGTTCTCTCACACCAGAAGCGATAAACTGCAAGCCACTCCTGACGTAAAAAACAAAACAAAATACTTTAACTGTCATGGCTTAGTCCTTGGCCAGGGGACCTCCAAAGAAGACTGTGCTGGATCCTGACGGCTGTATTTCAGAAGGAATGGCAAACCATCTCTGAAGGCACATATGCACAAGGCAGTTTGAAGGCACACATACACAAAAGTTCCTCAGAACTCAACATATGAAGGCTAAATTGAGAATGAAGTTAATTCTCTGCCTTACATCTCAGCAGAGAAGCCCACATAACATATGGGCTGAAGTTTCTCCAGGTGCAATGTCTGTCTCCACATCCAAGACCATGGAATCTGACTTGAGTTGAAGGAGTTTGAAGAATTAATGTTATAATATTATCCTCAAGCTCACTAAGTTTTTCTTAGAATCATAGAATTGGAAGAGACCTCGTGGGCCATCCAGTCCAACCCTCTGCCAAGAAGCAGGAAAATCGCAATAAAAGCACCCCCGACAGATGGCCATCCAGCCTCTGTTTAAAAGCCTCCATAGAAGGAGCCTCCACCACACTCCAGGGCAGAGAGTTCCACTGCTGAATGGCTCTCACAGTCAGGAAGTTCTTCCTCATGTTCAGATGGAATCTCCTTTCTTGTAGTTTAAGCCATTGTTCCACGTCCTAGTTTCCAGGGCAGCAGAAAACAAGCTTGCTCCCTCCTCCCTGTGACTTCCTCTCACATATTTATACATGGCCCTCATCGTGTCTCCTCTCAGCCTTCTCTTCTGCAGGCTAAACATGCCCAGCTCTTTGAGCCGCTTGTTCATATGTCTTGTTCTCCTTGATCATTTTAGTCGCCCCCCTCTGGACACATTCCAGCTTGTCAACATCTCCCTTCAATTGTGGTGCCTAGAATTGGACACAGTATTTCAGGTGTGGTCTTACCAGGGCAGAATAGAAGGGTAGCATGACTTCCCTGGATCTAGACACTAGACTCCTATTTATGCAGGCCAAAATCCCATTGGCTTTTTTTTTTTTTTGCTGCCACATGACATTATTGGCTCATGTTTAACTTGTTGTCCATGAGGACTTCAAGATTTTTTTCATATGTACTGCTGTCGAGTCAGGTGTCCCTCATTCTGTATCTTTGCATATCATTTTTTTTCTGCCTGAGTGGAGTATCTTGTATTGGTCCCTGTTGAACATCTTGCTTCTTTTTGTTAGGCATCTTGGAAACTGTAGTAAACAGATAGTATACAAAGATGCAGATTCAAAAACACCTGTAAACTCAGATTCATTACATATAGGTGTAATACAAACACCTCCATTCCATTCTGTATCATTAATAGATGACCAAGATGCATCTACACTGCGGAATTAATTCATGGCTCAGTCCTATGGAATCATGGGTGTTGTAATTTTTACAATGCTACAGACCTTGTAAAACTACCATGATTCCATAGTGTTTTGGGCACTTAAAGTGGTGTCAAATGGCATTAATTCTTAATCCTAAGTTTCTAAATGTAACATTGAAAATAATCACATTTGATTTATTTGGGTTTTTAAACATATATATGCACATATAGGTCCATGGAGGGTTACCTGTCAATGCTGAGATCACAATAGAACCCCACCCCCCAATAAAAAAGCTTCTATTTGCCATGGAAGAGAAACAGTAAATGACATCAACAACCAATTCCTTCTTGTAGAAAATAGCAACTGGTGTGTGTCTGTGACAGCTTTCATTAGGATCAAACTATGGGGCAAAACGATCACCTTCCCCTCCTGCATGCTGCTTTCTGCAAGCCTGTTTGCCTCTGGCTGCAGGTAAAATTCCCATGCGAGACAGGTACTGTATATGGAATGCAAACATAGTTTTAACATAATGAACGGTTAGATATTAGCATTTCTATGTCTGCAAATAAAAGGCAAGAAAGGGAATAGAAAATGTTTCTGGTCTTTTCATATTACACCAGAAACTTTCAGAAGTGTCTTATATAAGAGGGAAACATCGTTTGCGATGCTTCCAGCATGATTTTCTCCCACACACACAAAAAAGAGGCCACATCTCCAAACCTTCTGCAATATTAATTGGATTTTCTGTTTTGCATGAAGATGCTCCCGGACCATGTAAGCAGGCAGAATGAGGGTCCAGAGTTTGTGAGCTATAACTGCAATTGGAAGTGGCAAGGAGGAGCTGAATCATTGCCTCAGTGCTCCCACTTTGGTTTCCCTTTACTAAGCTTTCTTCACTTGTCCAGAAGCTACTCGTGAATTACACCATGGCTTCCAAATCACATTTTGCTGAATCTTTTTCTTCTCTTGATTTAGATAATGTCTGCTCTGGAATAATTCCTGTTGTGTATGTGTGTATATTTCAAGTGTGTATAGGATTGTATTGTCGAAGGCTTTCATGGGTTGTTGTAGGTTTTTTCGGGCTATATGGCCATGTTCTAGAGGCATTCTCTCCTGACGTTTCACCTTCATCTATGGCAAGCATCCTCAGAGGTACTGTGTATAGGATTCTTTCCACACCTAAGGGAAGTAATTGTTCAGAAACAATTTGTCCCAAGCCTACTGAAATCAATGGGCAGAAAGAAAGGGGAGAGGATGCTGGTGTGTTTTCCTACAAAAGAAAACACCCCTGCAAAGTTCTTTGCTTCTCAAAGCACGAAGGAACTATTTTATGATGTGGTGCCACACAGTCAATTAGAGCAGAACTTTTCATATAGCTTTTTAGAAGACAAAAAGAAAATAGGTCAGTCTCTTTTCTCCTCACTTGTATTATTTTTTCTAATACTCCTTTTGAAAACTCATTGATGCATTATATGGAGAAGCATGATAGATTCTGAGAAAAAAAATCATGTAATGTTAGGGTTGTGTAACCCTTGTGTACTAGTTATCTTCTTTTCATATTATAAAGAATTGGGACTAAATTACAATCTGGAGCAGACATTAAATTAATGGAATTTACATGCATGTTGATTCACCATTCAGCAACTGGTTTAATGGGTCTACCTAAAAATATTAATTGGATTAAACATTGGAATATAAAAGTGAATTATTTCAGCCACCATTTAAAAGTTATAGACCTTTTTAGCTTTAGTTTTTGATCTTTGGTATCATTCTCTCTTCTGTCTTGTTCTAATAAAAAGGCTGTAGTCATAATCAGATTAAAGTGAGCATTGAAACACAAAAACACATCTCCTTTTTACTTTTGGTTGTAATAGTATGTTTATTTCTGTTATCACTATGTTGCTCAAGATAGAAAGTAACATCTTA